TGCAGCTAATGAAAGCCTCGGGGCCTTTCTCTACTTGTGCTGTAGCCTAATCCTTACTCAGGCAGTTGGGTTTGGAACCACAGGGCAGAATGTAACATTTAGACCCTCCAGATCCTTTTGGCCAGCTTGGAGTAATAGGCCAAATCACGCTGGTCACCCCAGATCAAGGTCCCAGATGAGTGCCTCACTCCTGCAAAGGGCGTACAAACTCGTCAGCTGGAATGCCACACTAGCTGGCTGTTTCATTGTGCATCTGAGCTGAACAATCAGTGTGAGGCTCAGCAAGCTCGGGGTGTAGATGACCCCCTGCAGCCAGGCCAGATGTGAGAGCACTGACTTTGAAACTCTTGACCTCTGTACCAGCTACCACCTGAAGGTTGGTCTCAAGAATCTCTAATATTTTGGCCAAGAGGGTTCCCAAAGAGCTGTAGGTACTTGAGACCCTGACCTTACTTGGGGAAGGAAGGGAAGTCCATTGGGAACTCAGAACCACAGCATCTCATGGGACATCCATGAAGAAAAGTTAATCTCTATTTTCCAGGTAAAGAATCTACAGTGTGACAAGGTTAGGCTGTCAGGATATGGAGCAAAGCCCTCCTCTTGATTCCTGGATCTTCCTACCAAGCAAGGGCCCCAGACACAAGCGGGACTACTTTCCAGACTCATTTCCCTTTACCAATTTCCTCTTAGGATAAACTCTGCTCTCTTCAGAATCAGGACCCCTGACCCACTCCTGCATGTAACATGCAGTCAATATTATTGAACAATTGTAACAACCACATTTATCAAGCCTCTATTAAATGACACTGTTTCAAGTACTTACATATATTATCTCTGATGTCATCCCACCCTGGAGGAAGGTTATGCAGTTATTCTCCTTTTCTGCACAAGGAAACTGAGGTTCAGATCAGAGAGGGAGAGTGACTTGTCCAAGCCCACATTTCTAGCAAATGTCAGACTCAGATTCAAACCCGAGCCTGTCTGAACCTAAATGCCATAGTTTCTCCACAATGCACAACTCAGAGCTGTCCACGGGATGTGTCTCAAACAGAAGCAGCCATGTGCAAAGGATAATTCACAGTGGCTTCTCTGTGTCAGGGAGGCAGGCATGAGCACCCAGTTGATCTTCCCTCTCTTCTCTAGGGACCAGCATAGACCAAGACCACAGGTGCAGAGGGAAAACCTAGAACCCTGGAAACAGCCCCACTGCCTGGCATTGCCTCCCTATTGAGACTAGTTGTTTGAGAAGGTTCTGAATAAAGCCTTTGAATTTCCGAGAGTAGATTTCCCCTCCAAGGCCTCCTGCAAACCATGCATCCCGGCAGCTAGCCTTTGGGAAAGTGTTCAGACAAGCTGATCTTTCCCAGTAATTCATTCAGAAAATATTAGCCAGGGGCCTAAACTATTGGCATCCTCATCAACTTTAAACATCCTCCAGTCTGGGCCAGCGTCAATAGTTGAACTTGGAGAGGTTACGATGTTAATACTGGCACCAGAAGAGCACACACACTGAGCATTATTAGATAATAGGGCGGGTGAGTCCTGGCTTGTGTATAGCCCTGAGCCAGGGCATTGGAGAGGGATGAATCTCGGTGGGTCATCTAAGCTCACAGTGGGGAACTTGAGGCTCAGAGAGGGGCTGTGCCATGCCCAAGGTCACACAGTGAGTGACAGAGTTGAGATTCAACCTCGGGTCTTCTGACTGCTTCTACAATTGCAGGATATACCTGCCTGCCCACTTGCCCATCTCTGGGGCTGACTTCAGAATTACTGGATGAGAGCTGATCCACAGGGAGAAGCCAGGAGGTCTCAGCAAAGATAAGACCCAGAGGGGGCCAGCTCAGCATCCCCTGGAGAGGTGAGGGTTAAGTTAATAAAGGAGCATCTTCATACTCTGAGATGGGGGCTGTACTGCTCTCCCATGCCAACTGCGGACATCCTAACCAGAAATGGAAATTCACTGGTATAACATTGGCCTGGCATTCAAGGCCTCCGCAGCCCAGCCCTAACTTGCCTCTCCAAACTTTCTCTCCTGGCTTGCACTTCAGCCAGCCTGTGCTCTGATTATCTGAGATGATTCCACATACATTCCTGCCCCAGGTGCAAAGGTGGAATATCTCCTCTCTTCCCACGGCTTGTCATGCCGTCCCATACAGAGCAATGCTAACCACAGCTCACCTCCTGAGTCTTTCCTAACCCCTCCTCAGGACTTTAGAGCACTTGTCACCTCTCCCATCCGTTTCATACCTCATCATAACAATGTTAATAAAAAGAAGCAGCCACCTTTACTTAGCCAAGGTCTTCACAACAACAATCTGAGCCCTAATTTCCATTTGACAGATGAGGAAACTGAGAATGGACAGTTGCTGAAGTCACACAGCTAGCACAGAGCCCAGGACTCCATGGCTAAGACTCCTAAGGTTGAGGCTGCCAGCCCCCAGCCAGCACATGCTTTTGCTTTATTCGTTACTGCTGGGTGCTTCTGTTGTTTCTGGATATGGCAGTAGGTCTCTGGGGACTTGGACAATTTCATTAATTCATTTATTCAGTGGAAATTTGTTGGGTACCTTCTACCACATCCCTAGGATCTAGGCCTTATCTTGGGTATTAGAAATACAGGGATGAAAAAGCCACAGTCTCTGCCCTCAACGTCACCCAGCCTGTTTGGGAGATAGACCCACAAAGACAAATTACCAAACAGCTTGGGATGGGCTATAAAAAGGGCTAGCAAGCCAAGGAGAGGGAGCTTCTGGCCAGCTTCACCTAAAAATTGGAACCTGTGACAAATTTGTTCCATTTCGTGTCTGAGACACCTGGCCTATCACCCCGCTACAGCACATGCTCTCTGTCTGCTTTGGTAGCAATGGCCAAGTAAGCACACAGTGTCAATGAAAGCCCTAGAATATCCATCTAGCTGACATGTCAAATTGACCCTCTGGGGTGCTTTTAGTTCCACAAAGACATATGACAATGGAAAGGACTTATAGCATCATGAAATGAAGACCTCGGGTTACTGAAGCTTCTGGCAGGCAGAAGTGGTGGTTCATACATCTAAGTGACCCCACAGAGCCTCACACTGAGCCTCACACCAAGAGGAACCAGATAAACACTGCTGATTAATGATAGAGCCTTCCACTGTCTAGGGACAAGCAGCCTCAGATGGTCGCTGAGGATAAGCTGATGGCATGTCCTGAGACTCTCTGTCTGTCTTCCATTCATCATCGATCTCCCTGCCTGCTAAAAATATACTGAATCCATAGTTTCTCCCTCCTTGGGGCCAAAGGGCCAGAATGCTTGAAGCTGCCTAGAACCCCTTGAGAAGCTGCAGCAGCCAAAGGTGGAAAAGTCTCCCCTCTGGGTGATGTCTCCCTTTTCTTGCTTTTCTCTCTCTGCCCACGGCCACCCTGGGGAAAGGCACAAGTGTTGAGCCTGCCGAGTAGCGAGCGTCCCAGGGATCAGGCCCCAGACCCCAGATGCTCCTGAAGCTCAGGACTGCTGTCCCAGCTACCTTGTCTCAGAGCATCTGACAAAGACGGACCTGTCTCAGAAGACCGTGGACACAAACCCTCATCTGTCGCTCCAACCTTGGGTTAGCTTTCCAGAGGGAGAACCAAATGCTTCCTCATGCACCATCCTCCGCTCAGAGCCACCTGCTCCCTTTGGTGCCCCGCCGCCCACTTCTTTACAAACATCAAGCACTGCCTGTCCCAAAGCAGGTGTCCAAAGTACACATGGAAGCAAAGAGCTGCGAGTCCTAGACCCTGTAGGACAAGGTCATGAGATTTCCCTTTACCCAGCTCCAAACCCTCATCCTCCTTCCCTCTGACCTCTATTAAGTCCTGAGCTAGAGCCACTACCAGGCAGGGCTGCCCAGTGGATAGAGATTCTAGAGCTGCCCCACCCCCACCCCATTTCTTCCTCTAGAGGTCATTTTCCCAGGCTCTCTGTAGGGTACCCTTGAGCTCATCCCAGCAAAAGTGGCAGGACTGGGGTGGTTTGGGCACCTCAGGGAGGAGCTAGGACCTTAGGGCACAGCATCCTGACTCCTGGGCTGCTTCCCCCAGACCTCTACCTGATCCTCCCCTTGACTGGGCTGTGGGTGATGTCTAGGCTCTCATTGCAGAGCAGGTGAGTAACCCAGCAAGAAGAGAAGGAGGGAACCTGGCTGCCCCATTGGAGTCTTCTCCAGGCCCCTCTCCCACTTCACTCTGCAATGTGGCTAGGGCCTGAGGAGGTAGAGACTACACCCCAACCACCCAGGATTACCACTTCAAGGCCCAGGCCAGCTGTTGGCATCTACTCACCCCATCCCACCTAGGCTGTGCACACAGACCCCTCCAGCAAAAAAACCGCTAACATGAGTGGCGTTCTCTCTGATACTGGCTTTCTCTTTGTGTGTCTCTGTTCCAGAGTTTCTATCCCCAACAGTGCAGGGCCTCCCCAGGGGCCTTCAGGGAACCCAAGTCCTCTATTCCCTCCTGGCCCAGGGGTCCCTGCCCCAAACCTCAGAGTGATGGATTTAGCGTCATCGTGTGCCTGGTGGTCACATCCCACGCACTTCTGGTGCCCCTTCAGGAACACTCCAGATCTCCACGTCCCTTCCTGCAGACCATCAAAAGGTCGGGGTTTCTTACCCAACCTGGTGCCCCAGATTCTGTCCTTCTTTCCATGCACCTATCACTGTCCAAGGTCATGCTTCAATTTCCCTCCTCCACTGGGAACTACACTCCTTTTTTTCTGTGAGCCATGTTCAGCCCCTTTCTGCGCCTCAGACTTGCCCGTGTGTCCCCTCGTTCTCCTCTACTGTGAATCGCAGCTCCTCTCCCGTCCACCTCTGCGGACAGGTAGCCTCCCAAGTCCAAGCCCCCGGCCCCACCGGGCGCTCACCGCCGCCGTTCTTGTAGCAAAGGTAGGGGAAACGCCACACGTTAGCCAGGTCCACCGCGAAGCCGACCACCGACAGCAGGAAGTCGATCTTCTTGCCCCAGGTCTCAGCTCACCACCGCCGTTCTTGTAGCAAAGGTAGGGGAAACGCCACACGTTGGCCAGGTCCACCGCGAAGCCGACCACCGACAGCAGGAAGTCGATCTTCTTGCCCCAGGTCTCCCGGGGCTGCGCGTCGCCACCGCGGGGCGCCAGGAGGCACTGGACGCCGTTGCGCTCCTTCACCACCAGCAGGTCCGCAGCTTTGCGCGCTCGCATGGGCTGCTCGGACCCCGGGTCCGCCCCGTTGTTCTCAGGCTGCACCTGCGGATTCATCCGCGCCAGGAGCATGGGTGCAGCTGGCGAGAGGAACTTCAGCGGTACTGGGAGCACGCCGAGGCTCTGTTTGGACAAAAGGGTAAAAGAGGTAGTCACCCGGCCATTCCTCCCTGGCTGCGCCTCCTGTGACCACCCGAGAGCGCCAGGGATACCTAGAGCAGCGCGCGCTGAGCGGACGCAGGGTTGCCAGAAAAGGGCGCGCGTCTGTTGGAAATATTTGGAAACAGAGGTTGTGGCGCGCCTCCCTGGGATGGAACTCAGAGGTGGAGACCGCCTCTAACCGCCCTGTGGGTCCGACTGAAGACCCCGCCGCGCTCTCCCTCGTGCGTCCGCTCTCTCCTGCCCCCAAACGGCGGGGTTTGGACACGTAGGGGCTGAGTTTTCCCAGGGCCGTGACAAGGCGCGGTGCGGCTTGCCGTCCCCTCCCCAGCTCGGGTCTGCGCCACTTGCAGTAGCCGCGGAGGCTTCCCGGACACTTCCACTTCCACACTTCAAACTCGCTGGCACTCTAGCTCGCGCGGCTCGGCCTGGGCCTCCCGGCACACCTAGCCCGGTCCCGCGCGCAGGGCGCACTCACGTGTCCCGCAGCGAGGGGATCCCGGGTGCCGTGCGCCCAGCCGGCCCCCG